ATCAGCCTCAAAATAATTAGGCTAGTCTTTATTACATAACGCCGTTTCCTTTAGGAAAATACATTCAACTTAACTGCGAAAAACAAAGATAACGAATTAACATGTAAATATGTTAATAACCCAGAGAGGGGTTAACACCTCAAAAAATTTAAATATTGTAAAATCTATGTAAATATGACATAAGACACTCACTGACGTTATATTAAAAGCACCTCTTCCGTTCAGTAAAAGAAAGTAAAAAGAGAGTAAAAGAGAGTTCCGTTAAGACTATTTCTGAGGCGAAATCCGCGTCCGCGTATTTTTCAATATAAGCTCTTTTCGGAATATTTCCGCCTTCCATGAAATCTCAAGATACTACCGGACTCAAACAATGAATGATGACTTTACATTTTTAATCTTTACTTACCATAAACCGTCTTTCACTCGCACTCGCTTCCATCTGAAGACGCTGAGAAAATGGCGGCTTCTCGCACTGGTGTCGTCGAGACACGTCCAATGTTAACGTGACGTGCGTGCTCTATTTCACGTGCGCGTTCCCAACCCAGCACCGCTGGGTTATTGATCAAGACCAATTTTCAACCCAAAATTGGGTTAAAACAACCCAACGTCCTTACCCAGCGGTCTCAACCCAGCATTTGGGGTGAAAAAAACAACCCAGCGTTTTTTAGAGTGTACCAAGAGCTCGTAACACTCCAAAGAGAAAGGACAAATTGAAATCGCATCATATGACCCCTTTAACACTATTGAAATCAATTGTGAGTCGATCTCATGCAGAGTATTAGAGCAACATGCTAGTCACTATTGAAATTGATTTGATCATGTGCAGAATATTTTGTTGTTAGTTTAGCAACATGCTGTTACATTATTGAAATTAATTGTGAGTCATTCCCATGCAGAATATTGTGTTGTTAGTTTAGCAGCATGCTAATGCTACACTTTTTTGCAATTAATTGTAATAAATGTAACAAGTCCATGTGGATCACTTGTGTGGTAAACAGACTTACATAGAGAGTTCTGGATCAATACACTTATAATGTTGCGTGACAATGAAGAAGCTCCCTATTAAGGTAGCTCCCTTTGTAGGCAATAGTAAGTAAGGTAGCTCACATCAGGAGCGAAAATATCTAAACATTTGAAGATCAAATCTACTCAGCGTACATTTCAAACTCAAATCAAGTGTTCTGGAAATCAGTCAGAGCTGCAGGGTCAGACATATGTTATTATTTCAGCCTCATTTTGAGCGGCTTGTGCTGTTTTGTATCAAAGCGTCCATACCTCCAGCAGCACAAATCTTTTGTTCTAAGATTGCTTTTCCACAACCTCAAATTGGACTTCAAATTTGTGGTGCTTTTGAAGTGAACCTTCACGACACCACGTAAATCACAGCCCACGTCAGGGCTCTTGCAGCGCATTGGAAATTGTGCCGTTGTGAATAGTGTCTGTTAAGTAAACCCTTGATCAAGCTGACACGATACTATACTTCCCTTTTAAGGATTAGGACATTTAAAACAATTAGGACAAAAAACTTTTTTGCCATGTCAATAAAAAAATTAGTCATGACGTATTTGTCAGAAATGTATGCACATATCAAAACACAACCTGCAATTTCAGTGCTCTTAATAAACTTGTCTTACCAAACACATAGGCATTGTGCAGAAGTGCAGATAAGAAGCGCGCTAATTATCCTTTAATAAACTCAGTCAGGCAAAACTAATTCTGCAATGCGTCTTTTAATTAGAAGTTCGAAATGTCAGAGTCATTAGTATTTGTAAATCAGACTCAACAACCAAGCAAATTTGTCACAGCTTTTCTTTTGTCCCAATAAATGCTTTGATTGTTCAAAGCATGGCTTTTTGTTTGAAATAACCCTGATGGTGCTTTCTGTACATTTAATGTTTGTCATCTTTTTTCCGTTTCAGCAGATTTCAGCTACATATTTGATGGATGTCGAGGACACTAAATGTTTTTGTATATTTGGTGTAAATAAAGCATAATAACATTGCTGATATGATGGAAAGGCTTTAAAACAGAATGTTTTTCTCAATGAGCTTACCTTCGAAAGTAATTTAACTCTGGCCAGTTGAGGTTTTAAAATATTTGTAGCTGACAATGGTGAACAGTCAAAGAACAAGAAAAGCGCTAGCAAAATGTGGAATAAATCCATACGGCACTGTTTCATCCAGACCGATTAAGACTGTCTACAAGCCAATTCCGTTAGTATATGCATGTCAATCGTGGTCAAAACGACAAGTATTTAAATACAGAGGTGATGCATATTTGCATATATTAAGCTAGAATCTTATCTGGTCTTGAATGAAGAAGGAAAAAAGTATTATATCAGTTATCGCATCATGGAATGCGCACACATGAACCTTTAGGGCTTAACTCTTTTAATAGTTTATGATGCTTACCATGATTGTTTTCATTACATACAGATGAAAAAGGTATTCCTATAGCTGTGTTTTTGTTTGTGGGTATTAAAATAGAGAGCGCGAATGCAAATACTGGTGTCACCATCAATAAATGCCTCCATATACCTCATCTAGCCTTCGAAAGGGGAGGCTCATTCTGTCGATGCTCCCAGCCTCGCAAACAGATAAATTTGCCATTATGAGTGAACAGCGAAATTGTTCTGACCTCTCGATAGGAAAGGACAAACTGATGCGCCCAAATCAGTCATGGCCCAGATCCAATTACATGTTTTATGAATGTGAGGTATGAGTCGGGAATGTTAATTCAAACTCAGGTCAAACCAAGGGGCAGCGAAGCCATTTGGTCTAGCATCACTGCATCGTAAGAGCTGAACAATTCAGCCGTGGGTGCTTTTGAGCCTGTGGACTTTAAGAAAATACAGTTGAAACAGTGGACGTGCATCATAGAAGAATTCTGTCATTTTCTGGATGTCATGAGTATTTTCATTAACAGTGTTTTCAAGTTCAAGTTCAAGTCTGCTTTATTGTCAAATGCGCGCTTCGAGACAGATAGACGCGACGAATACGTACAAAGCGACGAATACGTACAAAAATTTTTTAACATTTTTTAAAAATTTTAAAATGACATTTCCGCCACAATTTAGGAAGTAGTGGAAGTGACATTTTTTTTACATTTTTTGGATAAAATGCCAGACTCCTTTGTGTTGCTAATGGTAATTTCATAGGTAGCATTTTATGTATCCTAAATACATTCAATTTTATTTTCACACTTTTTGCATCATTTTTACAGTTATAAATTAAAAATGGCAGAAAATACAAATATAAATAAAAATTTAATAAATAATATTTTCTAATTTTATTCAAGTATGCTCTTCACTGACAACATAGTCTTCCTGGTAAACAAGTACAATGATTTAAACAAACAAACAAAATCTTATTAATTAATTAAGGGCAAATTTGTTTATTGTGGTGAAAATAACTGAGACTACTGTAATTTTTACATTTATATAAATCACACAATAAATATTGAAATTGTTTCTTTATTACGTTATGTTGTTTATTATGTTAATATTGTTTATTCTGTATACTATCTTCTATTGTTTTTATACTTTCAGAAAGTCTGCACTGTAAAAAAAATTATCATTATTTTAACAGTAAAAAACTAAAAATGCAACAGGAGAAACTTGTTAATTGGTTAACAGTATGTATATATACGGTGAATAATTGTAATTCTACAGTAAAACACTGTTAAAATGACTTTTTTTAGAACAAGTCATTGTATAATTTACAGTAAAAAAAAACATAAATTGACAAAATTCCCAGAATTCCCTGCATGGCACTTCACATTTGATGTTTTTCTTTGAAATAACTTATCATCTTAGTTGTTTCTTAACAGTTGTGTACATTGGGGTTTTATCTTGCATCTAATGTTGTTAAATTAACATTTATTGCATTGTTTCAGTATACTGCAAGTGATACTGAAATATCACTATATGCACCTTCTATATTTAAGTATTTCCCTCCTCAGCTTGTGGAAGAGCTGTTGTGTGTTTGTGAACTCTGGTTCATCATGTGACATTCACCACCTGTTTTTGGTGGTTGTCAGTGTATTACAGTGGTACAAAACAGATATTAGTAATTCAATAGGTTGATATATTAACATAAATGAATTATTGAAATACCCTTTTTTACTGTAAATTTAAGTTAAGTCTGTAAAACCTCAAATGTTGCTACCATATTTTTACAGTTAAGTTCTGGCAACCACAGCTGCTGGTATTTTACCGTAAATGTCAGATTAAAAAAAAAAAAACTACAGTATGGGTCAAGAGTAAAACTAGAATATCAAAATGTATTTGAAAAGTAGTTATAATAATAGAAACGTTAGTGAAAAGTTTTAATGTGAAAAGGCTGAAAACGGTTAACTTGAATAAAAACAACCCCTGGGGCATGAGTGATTAAATATGACAAAAGCGCTGGGCTTAAAAGAAAACTGGGCAAATAAGATAACAGTCACAATTTCAGATTGCTTGCAGAGAAGGGTGCAGAGAAATCAGAATAAATAGAATCTGCCTCCAAACTTGTAAACATGAACCATCTGTATACCTGTATTCTTTTTCAGAACTCAGACGACCTGCTGGTGGCGTCAGCCGAATGTCCCAGTGATGATGAGGATCTGGAGGAGTGTGAGCCCGGCACTGGTGAGTTCAAACACACACAGAAGCACTGAGGCCATACAGACCCACACAAGCTCCAGACGCTCACAGGCAGCACAAACATCAGATCAAACTACTTTCTTAAAGAATTTAACATTTTTTTAATTAAGCAGTGGATTTTAATGACTTGCGGATATATTGCATTTGGATGTAGTGCAGTTCCGTAGATAATTTCTCATTTTAATTCCAACAAGAGCTTCTATTTTAATCATTTTTAATTTTTTGTTAATTTTTAAGACTGTTAAATTTTTATATCTTATGTGTTCAGTAAAAACCATGTTTTATATGTAAAATGAAACAATTGCAAATATTCAGGAAATAGCTTCAGTTGGATCTAAAATATAGTGTCAATTTTAATTTGTGTTCCTAATGTGAATTCTGTTACCCATAATGCTTTTCTGCTAGCACTCTTCCCTCATATTAACCCCATAGATGCTATAAACAAAGACGGATACTTTGGAGCTCAGCAGGTCATTTAGGAACTAAATTATGAGCTGATCTGACTGAGTTTAGACTAAGGGTTATATTGCTTAAAGGGTGGCCTTCTACCATCTGGGCTATTCATAATGCTAAGTGGCCTTTCCACTCCATCATTGGGTTCCGCTTTGAGCATTCATATATCAGTAATGTAGGTGTGACGTCAAACCGTGTTGCATAGTACATGGAATTATTACTCTGTGCTCAGCTATTTCTCTTGTGATTGTGCATTATGTTGCAATCATTCAGAGTGGTTGAGTTGTTTCTGATGGCCCATCTGGAAAATCAGCTGTTGCTGTTTGACATTTGTCCAAGCCTTTGGTTTCATTTCAGATTATTTTAGTTGAATGAAATGTTGGAAAATTAAACACATTAACCCAGACATTTCTTATTAAATAATTGCTACAACAGCCCTATTTATTGGCTCTGTCTCAAAATCTAGTCAGCTGCATGCCTAGCATAGCTTTTAGTATAGCTTTTTTTGTTTCATAGATAAGGCCATCCCATAATGTGATGTGACAAGCTCCATTCAATGAGAAATATTTTTAAAATTAAAGTTATCTTTTTTCCCCCCAAGTATTAAAGACATGATGAAGTTTTACACTATCATTCAGGAGTTTGTGGTTGGTAAGATCTTTTCATGTTTTTGTATTTATTGATGAAAATATAGCATTAATTTGATAATAGTATTTATTTGCTAAAAAATATATAGTAAATATAGTAATAATTGATTAAAAAAATAGTAAATATAGTAATATATGTGATTATTTTTTACTGTTAAAAATCAAAAATAAAAATCAAAAATGTAGTTTGATACTGTGAATGAAGTTGAATTTTCAGCAGCCATTACTCATTCAAAAGAAGGTTTATTTGAAATAGAATTTTTTTTCTAAAATTATATATGGCTTTACTGTCACTTTTGATCAATTAAATGTGTCCTTGGTGAATAAAACATAAATAAAAAAATACTGACCCCAAACATTTGGAAAAGTAGTGTGTATAATTAAAATGTGTTTTGGCTGTCTGTGTGCTTTATATTCAATTTATTAATCACATGCCAACATCAGAATCAGAAGTTTCTGCCTTAAAAGAGCATCTCAGATCTCATATCAGTCAAATCCACTCTTGAGCTTCCATTTTGTTTGTAATAAGATATATATAGACAATTCCCGATGTAGCATTACACAGAAATCACCTAATTAGGTTTTGAGACACAGCATTTAACTTATTACACAATGCGCATATGCAGAGGATTTGATCATTGCATAGTGAAATCTGTCAAATTAACGCCTAGAGCACAGATGAATGTCAAAGAGTATACAGGGGAGAAAATTTGTGCTTTTAAAGGGACCATCTTACACACCTTTGTTTTTTGTAATTTGCTTTTTTTCCATGCAAAAATCATGCGGCCTATTTGTTGATGTAAGTGACCCAAACTCCATGGTTTGCTATCTTGTTTAACCAAAGAAGAGCCAAGAGCTATTCAAGATATGAGTTGGTTCTGTTTTACATGTTACTGTAGTGATCTAGACATGTTTATGTTAGTCATTTGAGTAGGTTTAGAAAATACTGTAGCATTTTACATGTGAATATAAAGTACTGTGTGTAGAATCTTTGTCTTAGAATAAATTGCACAGAATAGAATTCTAATTCTAATATTAATAGTGTGCGCGTGTGTGTGCATGTAGACATTCTCGAGTCCTTGCTAATTGTTCTTTCTCCTCTCTCATCCCAGGAGGTGAACTTGTGTTGCCCATAATTACGGTGGACACCCAAGACACCCTTCCCATAGCCACCCATTACCCCGCCATCCCCACCCCTCCCACATCCCTGACCCCTCTCCAAACCACCAAAGAGTCCCTTGTCCTGTCCGACCCCCGCCCGCCATGCCCTCCGGACCAGGAGGACTGCGGCGACCCTATGGAGGTATCGGCCTTCGGCTCCGGAGAAATGACGGAGTCCGATGACGAGGACTTTTACAAAAACTCCCCCATGGTCACAGACAGGACGGTCCTACCGCCGCCCCCCGCCGTGGGCAAGAGCGGAGGCCAGAGCCCAGGTGACCACCGCCCTCCAATCCCCGGCCCCACCACTCACCCCAACCAGCTCCACATCCCCGCAGGCAAAATGAACACCCGTGACCAGGTGCTCCTGCCGCCAGCCCCGTCCTCCCGTCACACTCCAGGGTTAACCTACCCGCCTGGTTTCCCCCATGTGCCCACAGCTCACCCCACCGACCTGATGGAGAAGGGCCACCCGGGCGCCGTGGAGGTAATCAGGGAGTCCAGCAGCACCACAGGCATGGTGGTGGGCATCGTGGCAGCTGCCGCCCTCTGCATCCTCATCCTCCTTTACGCCATGTACAAGTACCGCAACCGAGACGAAGGTTCTTATCAGGTGGACCAGAGCCGCAATTCGGGATCCGAAAGCAACGGCGCCGTGGTCAAAGAGAAGACGCCGAGCACGACCGCGGCCATCACAAAGACGACCACCAAGGGCAAGAAGAATAAAGACAAGGAGTATTACGTCTGAGAGAGACCGAGGAGGAGGATTTTAAACATTCAAATCACCTCCTCTGCATCCTCAAAACATTTAAGCCACACAATCTTCTGTTTACTTCTCCAAACGTTTTTCTGCCACCGAAAGATACGGACGTAGGGAATGAGGAAGGAACACTGAGCGATAGCTCCTCCTTTCGTTTCTGTCTTGCGAAGCCATTGTTGTATGTAATTTTATCGCTATCATGTCTAAAGAAAATCTTCCATTACATTCCAAATGATGTAATGCCCTCTTTGCGATTAAAAATTTATGTTTTGCGTGGGCCGGGCCTCCACGGGAGAGTAACGAAACACCATGGACAGGGAGAGAAAACCCGCCGGTTTAACAGATGTCTCCACACACGAGCTTTTGGTGCTATTCCTGAACGTTTGTTTAATATTATCTTCACAGAGCTATGAAATTGAGATCTTCAATGAGACGTTCGCTGGCCCTCGTTGTAATAATTCATGAAGAACAGAAGCGATTGTGTTAGTTATTTGCACGAGACAAGCAGATGCTCCCATCAGTTCTTGTGGAGATGTTAAATCTGACACCTTTTTCGAAGGGAAAAAACGTGTTCGGTTGGAAAGGCAGCGGATAACCACATCTTCGGTTTCGTTCTCTGATTGAGCCGAAGAGCTTGAATTCATTTCCACTCTGGTACCTTTTGTCAGTGTAGAAATTAGGATTTATCTCTCCGCAATGGAACACATGAATCCAATTCTTTCTTTGGTGTTTATCCGCCATGGTTTCATAAACATGTTCTCACTTAGAATGGCAGATCAGACGGTGAAGCCTGCTCCACCAGCAGGTGTAGAAGAGCTCAGAAGGTTGTTAGAACTTAAAAAAGCGAATGAAAGGCATTCAGTAGGCATCTCTCTCTCTCTCTCTCTCTCTCTCTCTCTCCATGGTGCCAAAACATTGTGATCTGTTAGGCTTCTAATTGTGTTCCATGCATGATGTATTCACATTCAGCTTTCCATGGGAGTTTTTTTATATGAAATACATAAAGTTGATAACTCTCATCTCACCCGGAAGGATTCATAGCACCATGGGCGAGCACGACGCGGACAAAAGAGACCTCAGAAAGCGGGACTGTCCTGAATTGAACATCAGCTTGGACAAAAGATGTTGTATCTATGTAAATACAGGACATTGCTGAAAACGCTACAGGAGACAGGTTTGTGTGTATCGTGCATACGGTACGTATGCGTGTGCGCTTGTGTGTGTGTGTGTGTGTGAGTGTTTGTCCTCGTTCGTCCTCCGGCATGAGAAAGATATACGCAAGACTACGAGAACTCTTTCTCTTGCCTCCTATATTCTCTATGGTGTGAAACTACAGCCCAATACCCATCCGAATGAGACTAGGCAGTGAAGCTAACAGATTAAAGAGAACGGAGGCAAAATCATATTTTGAGAACTGTGTGGCATCTCTTCTAGGAGGGAAAAAAAGGAACTCGTTCTCATCAGGATGCCAGCTCACCACCTCCCAAACCTTAAAAGAAACTAAAAAGGAGTGAACTGACAAGACTTTTATGGATAAAGCAGCACAACCTTGTGTCCATACTATTGTATTTAAGGACACCTCCTGGAAAGGAGGAAAAAAGGAAGAAAAAAAAACACAGTATACTGTCTAGATATTTCTCACATTTGAAAATATGTTTTTTCCTGAGTTGACATTCCTTGTTATTACAAAGCGGTTTTTGTTTAGTCCTTTTCTCTGCAAATGAAAAAAAAAAAATTATTCACAATATATATTACTTCAGTTACACGAAGTGGGGGGGGGGTAATGTTTTGGGATTTTATTGAATTTGGTAAAAAAAAAAATTAAGCATTACACCTAGCCATACCTCCATTTTACATTTGGGTTTTTTGTTACGTCATTGACAGGGCTTTTTTTCTGTTTGTGTTTTTGTTTTGTTTGTTCTTTTAAGATATAATTGTCATTTACCTATGCTGGTCAAAGTATATTCCCGTTCTTAATGTAATTGTAAAGTGTTACTGTGAGATGAAATCTAAATATGTGTACATTGACAGAGGGAAAAATACACTTGGTTCTATACTTCGTACTGATTTGGTCAGTGTGGTCTCTTTTATTTCTAAAAATGCTTGTCTTAAAGAGATTGACATTATCGTTCGAAAGTTTGGGATCAGCAACTGATCAAATGATAGTAAAGACTTTTGAATATCATTACGAAACATTTCTATTTTAAATAAATGTATTACCGTTTCCACTAAGATATTAAGAAGTGCATATGTTTTCAACATGATAATAGGAAGAAATGTAGTATCAAATCAGATTACAATGATTTCTGAGGGAACATGTGACACTAAAGACTGAAGAAAAGTTCAGCTTTGCCATCACATGGAAAAAACATTTTAAAATATATTAAAATAAAAAATATATTGTTTTTAATTGTAATAATATTTCACAATATCACAGTTTTTATTGTATTTTAAATCATATAAATGCAGCTTAGAGACTTCTCTCAAAAACATAAAATTTAAAAAAAAAATCTTACCGACCCCAAACATTTGAGTGTGAGTCACCCAAAAATGTAAATGTTATTATTATTGTTCTTCTAAACCTGTATGACCTTCCGTAAAAGAAAATATTTCATTTTTTATGTTGCATAGTAGAAAGAAAGTCCTACAGGCTTGGAGCAACAAGAAGGTGAATAAATGATGAAAGAATCTCTTTAAGAGTTGTGAAATCACCACTTTATTTATTGTTGTCAGAGGTTTGAGACTTTCATATTTAATATTGAACATAAAAGGTTTCATCTTAGACTACTGGTAATGCGAGAACAATTATTTCCCAGCGTCTTTCCTGTCTGAAAATCAAGGTTTATTCCACTGTAAGAACTCTCACGCTGTGCAGTCAAGAACCCTTGTCTTACATGGCAATTTCATCATCTGGTCTTATATATTGATGGGTTCCATACAAAGACGTCTTTAGATTCCTCTGCTGTCACACTGCTCAGATCTAGGTGGTTGGGCCTCCAAACAACACTCTTCCTCTATGGTCTTGAAGGGAATGCGGCCCCCACATTTTCTTTCTTCTCGTTCTGCGTGCACTGTATATTATGTTCTTGAAGTACTTGTTTCCTAACTAACTATACGCACTGCAGTACAGATGGAGCTATTTAAAAGGCTAGAGCTAAAAGCATGCTTATGGAGAGCAGTTTCCTGGAATAAGAGGCAGCTTGAATTTGGAAAAGATTCAGACTGGTAAGGCTATATATGGAACGAGCCTTTCAAAAGCTGTGTAGTGTTGATTGCTTTCAAATGATGAAAGCTGGCCATGACACACTTCTGTTTTCATCATTATTCTGGGTCTATTGTAAATCTAGTGGAGTAAATTGCATTTAGTCAATATGCACAAAATACACTTAAGTACAGCATTTAGTTAAATGGGTGTTTTCATTTAGTCAGTGGCTGTGGTTTCAATTATATTCTAGCAGATGTAAAACTGAAGTACCAATTCCGCCTTCTGTAAAATGGCTGATTACATGAAAATCACAAGGATAAAATGTACTTATAAAGCAAAGTTTACTTATATAGCGTGTACTGTTGGTCATGTGACCTGAAGTGATTTGTGTTGTCAGAGAATAACCCAATATTACTACAAAAATTGTTTATACACTATATATATGTGTGTGTGTGTGTGTGTGTGTGTGAAAATACAATGGGCCTCAACATTCGTAAATATAGGAGTAAATTCTGAGTAATTTGCGCATTAGCCCCTCACTGCAGAACAAAGATCCAGGGGGCGGGGTTGGATCCACATCTAGGGGGTGGAGATGGTAGGTTTAGGGGTGGAGATGGGTGGGTCTAGGGATCAGGGGGTGGAGACGGGTAGGTTTAGGTATATGTAAGGTGGGAGGAGTTGGATCTGGATCCAACCTCGCCCCCTGGATCTTGTGTTCTGCAGTGAGGACATCTCAATTTGCGCGTAAAACGGACCTTCCCGAAAACTCTTCCGGATTCACAAACGCTTCGTAAACTTCCGATTTCCGATTGATAGTTAAACATGCGTATGTTAATGAATTCCAATTATTCGTAAATAGGGCGCTCGTGCGCGCTCATTCACAATTACCATAATCCCCGCCTATGAATTACAGCTACGCAAATTGCGTGTCCGGGAACGCAGTGGAATATTCTGGTCTACTTTCTCAGGTTTGGCTCCAGTATATTGCATAAATGCACAAAAAGAAAACTAATAGGCCATATGCATAACAATAAATATTCAATAACACGTGTCCACCAAAGCGTTTTTAGCCAGCTGAAAAATGTCAGGCGCTCATCTGAAAACGGCAGCTGGTGGTGCTGGAGGACGCTTTGGTGGCACAGCGTTTTTCCAGCTGAGACGCTTTGATTGCTATCATTTGGAATATCCACGGTATTAACGTATTACTAGTAGGCTATCTCATTTTGAAGAATATTACTGAATATAAAAATGCAGTAACCAGCAATGTTGACTTCTCTATTGTTGTTCAGTTGTTGTACAAGTAGGATGATTGGTCGGTGTAGCCTCGTATTTGTCCCGCCCCTCCTCCATTGATTGGACGGCTGGGTAAAAAGTGACAGTGACAAGCGTTGCGTTTTACCCAAAGCTAAACAGTTTATCAACTCCCAGCAACAAAAAAAAACAAAAACAAAAACAGAGCAAACGAACTTGTAAAATATTATTTGTGCATCAAAATTCAGTGTCATCAGTTTGCCAAAAAGAACACAGAACGTTTTACGCACCATTTACACATGGTATGGAGCAGGTGTAAATTTCTTTCGTACCAACTAACGTTTTGAAAATACGAACACTTTCATGAATCTGAAATTTTACGTCAGAACATCTTTACGAACGATTTACACAAAAATTTGTTCTGCTCG